ACTCTTTTCAATCTGAGAAAATAAAGGCATTCAATTCAATGGAATCTTAGGAAAAACACATGTATAGATAATTTGCTGAAGACTAAATCCAAATGGCCAAGAAACATTTAAAACAATGCTTAGTACCATGGAAAGTGAAAATTAAAATAACACTGGAATATAATTTTATACATATTAGGCAGAAATTAATGAGAGCTACCATACCTATTAAGATGGAATGTAAGATNGCAACTAAGATTGAACACGGCACCTTGAGCTGAGCAGCCGCGAGCTGCTGATGGGTGGCTGGATGGCGACTGGACTTGGAGCTGAGCTAGCTGCGCCCTCCACAACAAAGATTGAAGGACAACAACTTGGCTGTTCCCCTTCCCCAATTCTCCAATAAAAAATCTTAAAAAAAAAAAGATTCTCTCTTTTTATTTAACCTTTGGCATTTTAATTATGATGTGTCCTGGTGTTGGCCTCTTTGATTTCACCTTGTTTGGGATTCTCTGCACTTCCTGGGATTGTATATCTATTTTCTTCACCAGGCTAGGGAACTTTTCTGTCATTATTTCTTTAAATAGGTTTTCAATTCCTTGCTTTCTCTCTTCTCCTTGTGGTACTCCTATGATGTGAATGTTGGTATGTTTGATGTTGTCCCAGATGCCCCTTAAATTCTCAATTTTTTGGATTTTTTTCTTTTGCTGTTCTGATTGGGTGTTTTCTGCTACCTTCTACATTACTGGTTCAATCCTCTGCTTCATCTAATCTGTTGATTCCCTGTAATGTATTCTTCATTTTCGTTATTATATTCTTTATTTCTAACTGGTTCTTTTCATGTTTTCTATTTCCATTTCTGTGTTTCCTGTCTCTTTTTTGAAGTTCTCCCTGAGATCATTGAGCATCCTTATAACCAGTGTTTAGAACTCTTCATCTGGTAGATTGCTTGTCTCCATTTTGTTTAGTTTTTTTTTTTCTGGAGCTTTGTTCTGTACTTTTGTTTGGCACATGTTTCTTTGTGTCCCCAATTTGGCTGCCTCTCTTTGTTGGTTTCTATGTATTAGGTAGGGCTGCTATGTTTTCCTATCTTAGTAGAGTGGCCTTATGTAGTAGGTCCTGTGGGGTTCAGTGGTTCAGTCTTCCTGGTTGCTTGAGTCACACACTCCAGTGTGTCCCTTTGTGTGGGTTGTGTGTGCCCTCCTCTTGTAGTTGAGCCTTTGTTGCTACTTGCACATCAATGGGAGGGACTGACCCTCGGGCTCATTGGTTGTGAGGCCTGGCTGTGACTACAGTGGAGGAGCTGTGGTGCAGGTGCTGACTCTATAGATCAAGCTCTGCCTCAGTGAGGCTCTGGTGCCTGCCCAATCTGCCCCTTAAGTGTGCTATCCTTGGAGGTGGCTGGGTGATGCTCCCACATGTTTCAAAGATGGCCACTGGGGGTGCCAGCCCCAAGACCAGCTTGAAGGGGATCCACTGTAGGTCAAGTTCAGCTGTAACCCATGCCCTATGTGGGAACACCCAGCAGAAGCCACAAATCTGCCAATTGCTGCCACCCGTGCTGTGCTTGGAAGTGCCTTGAGAGGCTAAGCCGCAGATCACTGCCAGCTGCCGCTAGTGCCGGGTTAGTGCTGCTCAGCCAGAGGTACAGGACAGGCTTAAGCCAGGTGCTGCTTGTTTGAGTTCCACAAACCTTTGAAAGACCCTAGGAAAGTCTACAGCGTGAGCTAAGGCAGTCGGTGTGTAAGGAAAAGCCACTGGGAGCAGCTTGGGTGTGCCCAAAAGTTGGGTGGGATCTCGAATCACCAGGGTGTAGCTAAGAATGCGTTAGCCAGCTTGATGGAGGCTCACATGGTGGCCACCTGCATCTGCANCGACGCCAGGGGCGGCGGGCGGCGGGGCGGGCGGGCGCCTCAAGCTGGGGAGGGGCGCGAGCGGGCAGGTTTCGGCGGTGGCCCTTGGTCGCGGAGCTGGGCCGTCTCAGGGGCACAGCGTGCAGCAAGTCGGGCCGGGCGTGGGGTGTGCGGATCGAGGGCTCGGTTCTCGGGCCACTCTCGCCTGCTTTCGGACGGCTGGGGGAGGAGAGAGCGAACGGTCATGCAAAGCTCCATGCACCGCACGCCTTTCCCTCTTCTCTCCTTTGGAGGAAAGTCCGCTCCTAGGACTGGTGGTTTTCGAGAAGTTGAGGTGACCTCAGGCTTTACTAAGGTGCAAGAAGCCTGTTGAGGAGCGACCTCGGAAGGCTGGTGCAAGGCGAGGAGGGTAGTTTCCAGAGTCAAAAGCTCTGACCCCCCTGGGCCTGACGCGCCAAACTCGGAGACTCCGGAGAAGCTGCGGTCGCCGCGCTGCACCTGTTGTCGCCGTCACTCATCTCCACGAGCGGGCGGGGCGGCGCGGGCCGCTTGGCCAGGACCCGGGGCGCAGTCCAGTCCCGGCTCCGGCGCCTGCCCCAGGCCCATGCCCGGAGCGGCTCCCGCGGGCCCGAACCGGCTGAGTACCGCTTGGCCGGAATGCAGCTTCGGAAGTCGATCTGTAACTAAGCCACCCGCGCGCCAGAGTGGGTGAGGACTGTGCGACTTGGCTGGAGTGGCTCTAGTTGCCAGTAGCCTTGGGATCTCCTTTGAAAGAAGACTGCTTTGTAAGACATATTTCTAAAAGGTAGCTGAGCATTATATATGCATTGCCATATAACATATTGGCCAATATATGACGTAGTGGCAATATATAAAAAACATAACCAAGTTGTAAATAATTACTAGATAAACATGATGATGGTTATTATAGCTACTGTTTATCAAGACCTCACTTTGTGCCACTCACAGTGCGTTATAATCAGTATCATTTAGTCATTTCATTTTCACAGCAACTCTTCAGATAGACACTACTATTATCTTCATACTACAGGAGAGTAAATGGCGATTTGGAGGTTAAGTAATTTGGTCAACGTCTAAGGCAACAGCAGATTTAACCGGGGATCTCTCTGACAACAGTTCATGTTCTTAACCATTTTGCCATATATTTTTAAAGAATCAGCAGCAACAATTGTTAAAAGTTACATCAGTAGTAACTTTTGTGCTCTCTGTTCTAAAAATTTGACTTTGGGATATTTTACTTTCAAGATAAAGGATTAAAAATAAGCAGCGCGACTATATTAATTTTAATCCGTTTAAAGATTAACTCTTCATATTATTTACAAAAAATAAAAAGGAAAACAGTTTTTGTTAATTGAATATAGTTCAGCTAAAGTGTCCTAAAAGTCATTATACTTTTCTAAATGTAGTATAAGCTCATTTTTTCACGTTTCAGTGTCTGTGGAAACAGAGTATACAAACCTATTTAAATTAAAACATATTCTAGAGCAGAATAATTTTGTTGTTCAATACCATTAGAACTGATTTTCTTTGGGCATTTTCCCAGTAGTAATGATAGATGTGATAGGTATTACAATCCTCTCTTTTACCCAATTCTTTTTTTTTTTCTAAAAACACTTAGTTTTAAGACTGTATTCACCACAGTAAGGTGTTCAGCCTGTGACCCTGTGATGCACAAATTAATCAACACAATTTAGGAAACGCTGACTTTATTTCAAGGTCTGTGTTGGGTGCTACAGAGATATAGTGTATATACAGTATGGTAATTCTCTTTTCTACTTCTAACTCTTAATTCTTTTTTGGGGGGGTTGAAGGGTTCTGCCTCCTACTTACTGATATTTTTTTCCCTTTAATTCTTGCTTTATTTTCTTTTTAAAAAAGATTTTTATTAAAATATAGCTAATATACAATATTATATTAGTTTCAGATGTACATTATAGTTATTCAACAATACCCACCTAGCACTATACAGAGTTATTACTACATTATTGATTTTATTCCCTATGCTAAAGTGATCACCATGATAAGCCCAGCAACCATGTGACACTGTACCACACTATCACAATATTATTGATCTTTTCCCCCCTTTAAAAAATTTTCAATTAGAGTTGACAGTCAATATTATTTGATATTAGTTTCAAGTGTATAGCATAGTGGTTAGACATTATATAATTTAGGAAGTGATCCCCTGACTAGTACCACCTGGTACTATACATAGTTATTATCAATACATATTATTGATTATATTCTCTATACTTTACACCCCCATGACTATTTTGTAACTACCAACTTGTATTTCTTTCTTTTTTTTTATTTTTTAAAGATTTTATTGGGGAGTTGGGGAAGGGGAATAGAATTAGGGAATCGGGGAAGGGGAAAAGACAAGTTTATGTCCTTTTGTTCTTCAGCCTAGTTGTGGAGGACGTCGCTTCACTGGCCCATGTTGGTATTATCATTGCACTCTTACCGAATGAGGCAGATCGGTCGCCGGCCATTGGACAGCCGCTCACGGCAGCCCTTGGCAGCTCATGCTGGCTGCTAGCCACTCACGGTAGCTTATGGCAGCCCACTGCAGCAGGGGCTGCAGCCTATGCTGTTGCTGGCGACTCATGGCAGCCCAGCTCCAGGTCGAGCCGTTGTTCACCATCTTAGCTGTAGAGGGCTCAGCGTCACTGGTCCTCATGTGGGATCCGAACCGGGACCCTGCTGCTCAGAGCTGGCGTCCCAAGCCAGCTCTTAAGCAATGCGCCATTCGGTCGGCCCTCAACTTGTATTTCTTAATCCCTTCACCTTTTTCACCCTGCCCTCAACCCCCTCCCATCTATCATCCCGATAGATCTAGTATCCATCTGACACCATACATAGTTACTACAATATTATTGACTGTATTCCTTATGCTCTACGCTACATCCCCATAACTACTGTATAATAACAAATTCGTACTTCTTAGCCCCTTACCCTTTTCACCCACCTCCAACTCCCCTCCCATCTGGCAGCCATCAAAATGTTCTGTGTATCTATGAGTTTGTTTCTGTTTCATTTGTTTGTTTATTTTGTTCTTTAGATTCCACTTATAAGTGAAATCATATAACACTTGTCTTTCACTGTCTGACTTACTACATTCAGCACAGTACCCTCTATGTNGTCCCCCAGCGCCCGACGCGGCCGGGGGCGAAGACGACCCCCGAACGGGCTCTGACAGCGCCTCCGGAGACGGCCTGGCGGCGGCCCCTGGGGGCCGGTCGAGGGACCGTCGCAGCGGGGTCGTCTTGCCAGTCGCTGCAGGGGCCCCGGCGGATAGCGAGGCTGGCCTCTTGGAGGCGGCGCGGGCTACCCCCAGGCGCAGCAGCATCATCAAGGTAAGTGAGGCCGCGCCAGACCGGGAGCGTGGGCGTGGGCGTGGGCGTGGGTGCGGGTGCGGGTGGGTCAGGGACCCGGGCAGGATGGACGGTGTCCGGAGGCATCGCAGGCTCGGCATTGTTTTCTCCCACCTCCTTCATTACCAAACCTTCCTTCCTCGTGCGGAGGTTCCCAGACTCAGCTCCTGGCCGTCAGAGGCAGAAGTGACTTTTTTCCTGACAACGGAGGAAAAGTTCCGCTCTGCGTCTTTGCGTTTTGATGGATGCTTTTCCTCGTTTTCACTGGAAGCTTCACTTAACCGTTGATGGAAGGAGAAGGGGATGGTAGTGCACTGCTCTCCAGGGAAAGGTTAGCTTTTCCTTCACAGTAAAGGAAATGCACTGTTTATCCTCAAGTGGAAAAAAAAAAAACCAACAACAAAAAAACAGCACTTTCTAGACTCAAACGGTCCCGAATTCTCAAGAAGTGTGAACTTTCCGGGTCGGGGCAGGCAGTTTTCAGGGACCTTTCAGCAAAGTAAAGAGCGAAGGCGGAGCCGAGTTTCTGCGCTGCAGAAAGCGCGACTGGAACGCAATCAATCCCCCAAGAATCACCCCCAGGTCCTTTTGGTTACCATCACAACCAGGGAAAGTGCTTCCTGACCCCTCAACTACCAGTCAGGGCTTCTCTTCATGTGGCAAGATTTTTGTAAGCCTCGCTCCTTCCTTATCTCTTTCTGTCTTCCTTCCACCTGGGGATGGTTTCCTGTTTGAGATTTCATCTTTTGGATGCGTGACATGGGGGGTGGGGGTGGGGGTGTCTCCTGGAAGTCAGAACTCTCCACTCTGCCACAGGTTTAGGAAAAGGGCCTCTTAGCATAAATGCAAGGGAGTAATCATGTGCATGTGAGTTAAAATCGATTTTGGTAGAGCAGTCACTGTGTGTGTGTGTGTGTGTGTGTGTGTGTGTGTGTGTGTGTGTGTGTAAGTAATTTGATGATAGTGAAAGATAGATTTAGAACTATTTACTTCTCAACTTACATGGTGTGGTGTGCTAATACATTCAAAACCTTTGTTCAAGGATAAGCTGTGTAACCACCACATAATGCTTGTGTCTTTCTGAAGCTCAAGGTTGGAGCTCCCAGCACCAGTGTGGGTAGATTGTACCCACAGCACCTCCACCTAGCTCCAAGTGTGGTTTAGGCTTTTCCCCAACACAGCCACATGGCAGCTTAAAACCAACAGGGAGATTTCTGTGATAAAAGAATAGTGGGTGGTAGTTGCAGATGACTTGTAGTAGTTTATTTTATTTTGTGACTTTTAGGTTTAGTGAAAAGGAATGTTCTATTCTGGGTGTGAATTTGGATGAAAAGGAAATTATCACTTTTTTCTTTTAATCCACAGATCAGAAACCATATTGTTTTGAAACTTAAATAATCATTACAGTTAGGAAACATACATTTTGTTCTTGTTCTTTTTTTATTGAGGTATAATTGACATACAACATTATATTAGTTTTAGGTGTACAACATGATTCAATATTTGTGTATATTGTGAAATGATCACCAGGATAAGTCTGGTTAACTTCTATAATCTGATACATAGTTACAAAATTTTCTTTTTTGTGATGAGAACTTTTAAGATTTACCCTCTTAACAACTTTCAAAAATGAAATATAATATTATTAACTGTAGTCACCATGCTGTGCATTCGATCCCCATGACTTATTTGTTTTATAACTGGAAGTCTGTACCTTTTGATTCTCTTCACCTATTTTGCCTATCTCTCTACCCCACTAGCAACTACCAATCTGTTCCCTGTATTTGTTCTTTTAAGATTCTACATATAAATGAGGTCATACAGTATTTCAAGGAACATACAGTTTGGGTTCTAAGATATTAATACTAAATATGGTTCTGTGTGTGTGAAAAAAATACCACCAGATAGTTTAAAATATACCGTCATCAAAAGCAGTGGGCTCTATAGTTTTTTAAAAAATGAAACGAACAGAGTGTAAGTAATATACAAATTCTTGCACCTAAATTTGTAATTTTTAAATTGTACCATGTGCTGTATAGTCTCAGAAGGGTCTTTGCTGAGTGCCTCTTTTGTTTTGAAGTTTCTTTTCTGGACAGAAAAAGAGGGAGGCAACAGAGTATCAACTTGATCTTTTTCCCTTTTTAATAGTACAGTAAACATTTAGTAAATGGCCTTTAAATGAAAGATTCTAGAAAATGAAGTCAATTATCATTATTATTTAAAGTTAGGTTTTATCAAAAAATAATACACACACACACCACACACACACACACACACACACACACACACACACACACGCACGATAAAAAAAAATCCAATTTACACTCCTACTTACATAGCTGTTAACACTTTCTTATGTATCCTTTCAGAAATATTTCATGCTTGTATAAGCACATGTGTCTAAACATATCTGTGGTGAACTATTGACGCTTCTCATTTATATAATAAAATTTGGTTAGAGTTTTACAGGCCTTATATCTTCATATTTGCTCCAAACATTTTTGATGCCTGGAAGGTTGTCTAATCATCGTGACTTGTCAGTTTGGTCTTCAAGTATAACCTGGTAGGTTATAGGCGATGATGGTACCTTGGGATCTATTCCCAAAGGCCTTCATTCCCTTCCAGTGGGGAAAGTCAGGTGATGGGCTCTGTTCCACTCTCTTTCTGCTATCAAGGACCTTTCAATTGACATCTTGAATCTGCTGCCCCATGGTTTGTTTACTGTAGCGTAGTAAAAATGAGAGTTTCTTAAAAAGGTCTAGATCATATAAGAAATATGTAGCACATGTTCTGTATTGAGAGAAAATACATTCTTCGTAGTTTTGCCAAGAGTTCTTTTTATTTAGCTTTGAAACATATACAAAAAAGACTTTTGTGCATTTTATATTAATCTAACTATTAAATGCTGTTCCAAATAACCTTAGTATAGTAATAATTGGTATTCATGATGATCTCTGAACTACTGAAAGATTGTGAATCATCAAATATTAAATTATTTTCAGTTCAATTTAGGGTATTATTTCTATTCTAATTATTTAAATGCTAATTATCTATTAGATGAATCAGAATAGTGCATCTCTCTATCATGCTAAAAAACAGACTGTCTTGTATATTAATAAAAGGGATGCTTTTAGTAAATTTGCCCTCCCTAATTTTTGAAAACATGTGTTTAGTTGAAAAAACATTTTCTTTCTTAGCTAATGAAAATATTGACATTTATCATTACACATATTCAGAAAGTCTTATTTCTACTATAATTGCATTTCTCCTCTTATATGCCCAGTCCTAAATTTTAAAAAATTTAACATGGGAATTAAACTAGGTTCTCTTTAATGTGTCCATTTCCCCCCGTGTTTTCCTGTGTGATTATTTTTGACAGCGCTGACATTGATAAATGTTGCATGTTTTTTGGTAAGTGCTTTTTTGTATACCACAATATTGCTACAGACTCCAGCTTAATTGCTTCTTGATGACTTGTGGTTTAAAATGACAAGTTAGTTACATGCAAAATTGATAATATCTAAGAATTATGTGCTATTCTGCATTTGAATATATTTCTACTTAAGAAATTACACCATTTGTCTACCTGGCACTTGATTTCAAACTTCTATGTTTAAAATATTTAACATTTTGGATTAGAATTCATTGCTCTATAACTCCAATGTTCTGGAAATAGAAAGTAATGTAGCCTTTTCCTGCTTACATGTGGGGAACTGAGATACATACATGTTTTTTAAATAGCAGTTAATTTTTCTTCTATTATATGTAACATATTGAAAGGTTCCTCTTTTTTCGTTTCCTTGTTTAAATTTTTTTTATTTATGTAAAGTTGGTATACAATCTTATATTGGTTATATTAATTTCAGGTGTACAGTATAATGATTTCACATGTTTAGACCTTATACTGTGATCACCCCACTAATTCCAGTAATCATCTGCCACCATGTAAACTTATCACAATGTTATTGACTATATTCCCCTTTCCCTTAGCACCACCCCACCCCTTCCCTTCTGGTAACCATCCCTTTGGTCTCAGCTTCTATGAGTCTGTTTTTGTTTTGTTTGTTTGTTTGTTTTTTATATTCCACACACAAGTGAAATCATATGGTATTTGTCTTTCTCTGTCTGACTTATTTCATATAGCTTAATATTCTCTAGATCTATCTATGTTGTTGCAACTGACAAGATTTAATTCTTTTTTATTGCCGTGTAATATTCCATTGTATAAATACACCACCTCTTCTTTTTCCATTCATCTATCGATGGACACCCAGGTTGCTTCCATATTTTGGCTATTGAAAAGTAATGCTGCAATGAACATAAGGGTGCACATATTTTTTTGAATTAGTGTTTTTGTTTTCTTTGGATAAATACCCAGAAGTGGAATTGCTGGGTCATAAGGTAGTTCTAGTTTTAGTTTTTTGAGGACTCTCCATACTGTTTTCCATAGTGGCTGCACCACATCCTCTCCAACACATGTTATTTGTTGACTTTTTGATAATAGCCATTCTGACTAGTGTGAGGTGGTATTTTATTGTGGTTTTGATTTGCATTTCCCTGATGATTAGTAGTGTTGAACATCTTTTCATGTGTCTGTTGGCCGTCTGTATGTCTTCTCTGGAGAAAGGTCTTTACATGTCCTCTGCCCATTTTTTGATTGGATTATATTTTTTTGTTATTGAGTTGTATGAGTTTTTTATATAGTTTGGATATCAACACCTTGTTGGATATATCATTTTAGAATATACTGTCCTATTTAGTAGGTTGCGTTTTTGTTTTGTTGAAGGTTTCCTTCCCTGTGCACAAGTTTTAAAATTCCTTTTGATTCTACTTAACTATGAATTCTCTGGAAGAAATTATCCCTTGGATCTCATGGACATAGGTGTGTGGGATGAATACTCAGGAGTTGGGGATGAGGTACTGAGACCTGCGCTGAAACAGCTAAAAGTAATGGCTGTGGTGTTGGTCTTGTATCATTATTT